GCAACAATAGGAGCCGCTTGCTGCAAAGATAACTTTCTCTCGGTCGTGCGCTTCTCCGTCCTCTTCGCTGCGGTTCGACTTCGCTTCTCCAGTGACTTTCCCCTCCTGTGGATCGGAAGTGACAACGTTTTGATCGGAAGCGACAACGCGAGCACGCTGGTTCGGAAGCTCCATCGTGGACGTTCGACTTTGCTCCTCCGAAGACTTTCCTTCAAGTTGGAGCGGAAGTTACGCATTTTGATAGGAAGCAAGCTCGGGAGCACGCTTGTTGTGGGGGTAACTTTCGACCTTCCGCCCCTGCTTCAACTCCTCTGTGGCTGGTCGACTTCATCCCCTCGACGACGATCCCTTGCGATCGGATCGGAAGTGATAACAGTTTGATCGGGAGCAAGGACGGAGGCTCGCAGCTGTGAAGTAACTTCCTCCCTTTCGTGCCTCTTCTTCAGCTCCTTAGTTGTTCGACTTCACTCCATCCATGACTTCCTTACCTGCCAGATCGGAGCCAACGACGGGAGCTTACTCACCATCCGTGAAGGTAAACCCCCCTTGCACGCTACTCCGACCAAATCCCGTCAATCCACCGTGCCGAGGAATTCCAAATATATATAATGTATTTTTAATTAATGCTAATTATTATAATTATTATATTTAATTCTAATTAAATTATTATAATTAATTTTAATTAGAGTTATTTAATTAATTTATAATTTATAATATTATTAATTTAATTAATAGTTTATTTATTATGGGATTAAATTTATAACTAATAATTTTAATTAATTATAATTAATTAAAAGTAATTAACTTAAAAATAATTTATTATTAAATTAATATTAATTATAATTAATTCAAAAAAAGAGGGGAAGAAAAATAGAAGATGCTCCTCCCACCTCGGTTTTCGTGCCCTCCACTGCCAGTCAGTCGGGCCCTAAGGTATAAATTTCTAACTTAAAACCCACCTCGATGTGCTTGATGCACTTGTGGACCTCCATATGCGCGCTCTGTAGCATGGTGGGTGGGGAATCCAGTGGCAATAGGTGGACGGAGCGGGTAAGGCCCTATTACACGCTCTTGTAGCGTGGTGGAACTGTCCTTGACCTCAACATCGACGCCAACGACTGCTACGCAAGGTATAATCTCCCAAATCCTATTCTCGGCGTTTGTGGCGGACCGGAGAACCACCTATACGCACTCTTGTAGCACGGTAGGAGGAAGCCCGGTGCAACACATACGGCGAGATGGGTAAGCCCTATACACGCTCTTGTAGCGTGGTGGGGAAGTCGCTGGTGTTCTCGTACGGGTACTGTTGAAGGCCCCATACACGCTCTTGTAGCGTGGTGGGATGAAAAGATGTATGGCTGCGGTGTCTAAGGACACCTACCATACACCCTCAAGTAGCGTGGTGGGAAGGCCCAGCTCCCCTACATTTCCCCCAAATGGGGGATATGCCGGGGTGCTGCCGAAATTTTCACTGAAGTACATAAGGCTTGAACAATTTGAAGATATCATTTGAGCAGCAATGCAGAGGACCCATACTTGAACTGAACACATAGAACTTAAACTAAATTAGCAGAGGACTTGTACGAAGAACATATGACTTGTTGACTTGAACTGAAAACATAGAACTTGGACTCAAATGAACAGTGGATTTGTGGACCTAAACCTGAACAAAATTTAAATGATTTCTAAAGGTCAAACCCAAACGAAATAAAATCAAACTGGAACCAAACTCAAGTCAATACGAACATGCAATCGCACTTGCAAGGACTTCAGAAAGACCCTAAACAAGCACTTGAACTTGTACTTAGAACTTGAACTGTGTAGCATCAGGGGACCCGAATGTAGAACTCAAACTCAAGTGAACTCTAACATGAATTGAACTTGCAAGGACTTCAGAAGATCCTGAACAAACACTTGAACATGAATTTGAGCTAAAGGAATATGAACTCAAATCAAACTTGAGTGAACAAAAGACTTGAATCAGGTCTGATCAAGGACTTGGACTTGTACTCTGAACTCAAAACTAGAACAATATGTGGACAACAAGAACTTATGCATTTGAGCTTGAACTATACGACGCCAAGTGAAATTTGGATTTGCAAGCATTAAATTCAAATCCGGATGAACTCAGTATGAAAGTAGAAGACTTGAATGAATATGGAAGACTCATACTGAGTTTGAACTCAAGTATTAATGAAACTGAACTTGCATTCAAACACATGCAAGGAGCAAAACATAAATCATGCACGAGGAAACTCAAACTTCAAGAACATTTGTACAGTCAATAGTGACTCAATGTCAGATGAAATACATTGACCCTAGTAAAAAAATGTGACTAAGGCGCACTACAAGACCTCAATGCATGCAAGCAAAGAATGTAGTAGACTCTTAAAACAGTCTCTATGAGATCGGGTGCATCGTACCTGCAAGAATGAAATGCATGGGTGTCCCTCCCATATGCACCATTGGAATCTCCAACATAAGTATCAATGCCCGTAGATTGAGATGGCAATACCGGCATTCAATAGCGGAGGACTGTCCCCTATAGATAAGTACAATTAGCAAAACCCACCCGAGATTGGTGAAAGTGTGGATATGATGTAGGAATAATGGCTACCTACAAACACTTCCAGAAGGTTGTAGTGGATACAACGGTCCTCTGCAAATACATACAAGCTGCTTGTGGATAACAACAGTGAGTGTATCATAAGTACAACGAACCATTGTGGGTACAAGTACGGATATCACCTACGACAACGGTGATTAAGATCTTCAAGCATGTCGAGTACAAGGGCAACTCGATGTACGAAAAAGGACACCACCTGATAAAATGGAAGGGATGCTCGAACAATTTAGAACTAATCTTCTTGGTGTTCCAAAGTCTCTTCTTAATCCCATACTTAAGAAGAAAATAATTCTGGTGTCCACAAATATCGAAAGTGATAAGTCTACTACACTAAAGAGCTTGAAAAGAGTCTATTTCAAGGCAGTGGCCACGAATTTCAAGGAAGCCATCCCCGGTGAATGAGAAAGGGGGAGTCAACATCAGAACGATGAGGTACCTTTTGAAATCCAGATACTACTGCCACCAGATCCGCGACACTCGTACTAGCGGACAGAAGGCGTGTATAAGCTCTCAAATGAAAAGTTGTGTGCATCCAAACGATAGTTATCTACAAAACTACAATTATTTCAAAGTACCCCTGCACGTACTCTATAACTTGTATGCACATAGGTACACTAAAGGGGAAAATATATTCTCGACCCGCATGGGCCCCGACGAGCGTGTTATTGGTACACACATTACGTCTAGGGATGCTGCGCGAGTCAATAAGTGAAGATCCTTCTATACAGATCAATAGGAGTCGACAGGGTTCGAACCATTAAGCAAATATAAGATTGTGGTGACCGGTATATTTGTTTTAATACATTCATATTAGGACGTCAAAGCCTATAATCAAAAGAATTCACTAACAATGGCACAAAGCCTACAAAACCCGATCCTCTGTCGACAGCTCGATAGAGTCGACAAGGTTCATCCACAAAATGCCAATATTTTCAAGTGGAAATGACCCAAAATATACCCCGATGATGGCCGTGTCAAAGGCAGATCTAAACCGGAGGTCCATTTAATCCAAAGCTCCACCCAAATAGTCCAAAACCCAACAAATTCCAATTCCAGATATTTAAAATCAAAATTCAATCAATCAATCACTTAAAACAAATCCAGACCACCTCCGCAACAGTTTACAGGGGTGGACAAATTCAAATATAACTTTAGCTCACTTAGAGCCAAATGCCTAGTCGAAAATATCACTATGATTCATTCTCAAAACAGTCTCCTGCCAATAAGACGTGTACGTGTCCTCCTAACCGGCCTGGACGTTTTACCGCCAAATGGCACCGTAGGGATAAATGGTTATGACCGAGGTCGCCTCGCCTCTGCAGTGAGTGTTTTGCCGCCAAATATGGTACCTACGAAATACCAGTTATGGCAGAGCCAATACGCTCCTTAGCGGCATCAAATCCTTTGAGAATGAATCAATATGATATTATCGATATGGCACAAAGCCCTCTGTCAGCTAAGGTGGATTCAAATTTATCCCCTTAGGGCAAATATTAACCCAAGTCTACAAGAATACTCTTGGACGAAAGCAAAACCATGGATGCACAACAGAGACTTTTGTCAGGTTGGTCGACTACCTCCTCTGATAAATAGACCAGGGACCACGATGTCGGGACGACGGAACATTGGGATCTTGATCGGGTCTATCATCCATTCCCCCCACATCAGCTTAAGTTGCAAGATGGAAAAATTTCAATTTTAAATATCCAACATCCTCAAATTTTCCAACATCCACCCGTCCACAATTTTCCCAAATTTCCAAATCCAATTTCTATCAGTATCCAATCTATTGCTGCTACTATATGCCAGATAACACGTATTCCTACGTATCTGATCGATGACTAGCCTTAATCGAAAGTTCTCTCTCGTGATCGGGAGGGGTAATTAACTATAGGGGCTTGCGCCTATAGGAAACCAGAACTCAGATCATAAAGTCCTCGCAAAATGAGGGCGAAATCTCTGGTAGTGTCTTATCTACAAACCCATCTGCCTTCCAAAATTTACCCCGGAACTTATTTCGTTAAAACTCCCATCGCCAAAGAAAAAGCACAAATCAGTCGCGGCGGGGAGGCCAGGGTCAAATTTTCAGAGCCCACAGTTTTCTTGCGAACTCAAGTATTCCTATCATAATCATTCTATATAGAAAGAGAACCAATCTACTGAACGGTTCTATTGTAACTATTAGTTCACTGAACCACTATTTTAAATCACAAGCACACTCAAAACAAAACAAAACAAAAAAACAAGAAGATTCAAAAGGCAGATGCTATAAGATGGTAAGATGCTTAGGAAGGATACAACTTCAAAACTTAAAAAAGAGATTCATCTTTATCAGGTTCCAAGATAGTGCATTTGGAATTGTAAGAAGATTAACCTGATCATTAATATTATGTGGAAGTGTAAATCCGTAATCCAACATAAGTGTAGAATTTGAAAACTTCCCGTATCTTATCAGAACCTGAATTTGTTGCCAATGCATTATTAAATCGTTTAATAAGCTTCTACATGTAGATACAAAAGGAAGCTAAAAAAACTTGACAGTAGCATGAGAAACACAGGTTTAATGTAAACAACTTTAACCATAATTTACTGAGCAACAATTGGTATGGAAATGTAAAATATACATACAACAATACCACGAGTATTTAAATGTTATAACAGTACAGAATTCGAAGTGACTGTCCAAGAGGAGATACAGTAAGCTTATGCACAGCCGAAGTGCTTTTGCATCCAACAATATATTTTAGAAGCATAGCAGATTGTATAATTGGTGCGTAGAAACATAAAAAAATTTAAGAGTTGATTAATAGATCTTCTCACAACCAAAACAGACATCACATCTGTTGCCAGCTCACTGGAACAGCCACCACTCCCTTGAATCCGTCTCCACCTAGGATGACAGCAGCCCCTCTCGTCAAGACCATGAATAGCTAATAAACTTATAGTATAGTATTACAAGAAAATTCTATATACCTTGAATATAACGTAATCTCTTGTCACTGTCACTGTAATGAAATGGAAATTAATTCGCCAACTCTACTTTCTGCATCTCCTCTCTGTATAAATATTCTGGCCTAAACCATTCTTTCATGGTATCAGATCATCTCACAGCCTATGGCAATCCATCTCAAATAATCCAATGGAGCAATCCGCCTCCAGTCACCACGAATCAGAAGCAGGTTCTAACATCACCACACCATCCTCTCTCAAATTCCTTACCTCCAATATCAAACACCTTATCTCTACTCACCTCACCATCGATAATGACTCAATATGAGAGATCCAAAATCATTGAATTCTTCCATGCTATTATATATTTGGCTTTGTCGAGATAAATTCATCAAAACAAAATCTGGTTCTAAAATTTCAAACCCTCCCTATCCTTGAAAAAACCTTATTGATCAAAACCTAGCCGTTGCCATTAAGATTAAGCATGTAAGGTAACCGGTCTTGAATTCTTCAATTAAAGAACAGAGTAACAGACTACACAATACCTCCATGAACAACCAGTCCATGACCCAATATATCTCAAAAATTAATGCTTTTGTGATAATTAGATATAATTGCTTAAAAAATTATCTATTTATCATTGGATACACATACTATTGCTTAATGTTTTGGTTGCAACTCTCCCACAGCAGTTAAATGTGGTATTCACCCAAGTTTCATGGAAATCAAATGTAACACCTCACAATACCCTTTAACAGTATTATTAAATGTCACACACATAAACATAACATGTTTTAACCTTAAATATATGATACTTATCATCATTCTTATATTGTCTAAAGTATCAACAACATTACATTTATTATATAAATGGAACTCCAGTTATATCAAACAAATATTTATAGAGCCACTAATACAATCCCAAATATTATATCACAAAATTATCTACATACATCCGTTGTAGACTTATGAGCAAAGCTAAACATTAACATATAATATGAAATAATTTGCAAATTATTCTTCAACGACATTTTCCTTTCCTTTACCTATAATAACAGCCAGTATGAAATAACTAATGACCCTTTTGTAATAACAGTCTATGAGCCTCAATAAGTTATACAATTTTTAATTGCATTATCATAAAATTCACAACATTGAAATCATAAATTAAACAAACTTGATATTAGTTATAAACATCATAAAATCACAGTTAGCATTAACATTTACTTCATATGAGTCTTTACTTAATATCAATTTTAGTCTTTAAAAAATTTGGCTACGCTTACAAAAAAACATTGAATAGAGCCTAGATAAACCTGGCATTATCGCCATTGAATTACATAAAATTCCATTTTGCCTCTTTAGGAGACCCTTTGTCCCACATGCTATGCAAGTATCATATTCTCTGGGGTCCCTTTTGCCCCATTTACAATGCATTGTCATATATGAGGACCCTTATACCCCACCTACAATTATAAATTATACATCATTTTATAATCAAACTGTACTTTAAATTGATATACAATACACTTCAAATGTTTATAGTTCATACTTATTCAAACATGCTTTCATAATGACATTTATGTTATATTATTTGTATACAAAGAATATGAATACAATATGTAAGAAAATAGACATCTTTTCAAAACATTATCAAATAAGAAAATATATAGATGAACATACTAAATATTATTTTAACCTCACATGATTAAATTATAAAAGTGGTTGTTCATACTTGAAAATTTGGATGTGTAATCCCTTTCCATCCATTGAACAAATTTAATATCATTAAGCATTCAAAATTAACTCTTCATGTTTTAAAAATGAACTAATTATATTTTTAATATAATTGCATTACTTACCTCTTTGACGAACTTCCTCTTCCAATTCTACACCACATAACATTCTCCTTTGATAACTATCTCAAAACTTCCTTGCATAAATATGATGAATCCTAAAATTACAATTGTTATACACTTCTTCAATACTTTTATCATTTTTTAGAAATAAAAAAGACAACCATGAATATACTAAAAAATGCTTACTCTTATTTCAATACACTTTCCTTCCTATTCTTCCTTCATTGTTCTTTGCTCTCGCAGCCGAGATCCCCGTCCAGAAATTTCCTTCTCAAAATTTATGTTCTCTGATTCCTCACAAAGCAGAAATTCCATTAAACTCTGCACCCGCACTTCTTCCTATTTTTCCTAATCGCATATACTAATTTTTCTCTTGATCCGATTCCAGTGCCGAGACTTCACTCCAAGCAATGTGCAGAGATTCACTTCTCTGTGCCGAACTAACTCACTCCCTTCCTTACTACATCCCCTACATCCACCGAATTCCCAGAATTCTTATTCCAATGCTTCGCATTCAACTGTTTCTGGAAAAAACCACGATCTCCCCTTTTCCAAGCACATGAAAATCCTATTAAAATGAAGCAAAACAAATATAACTAGATTCTCTTCACAGCCTCTATTTCTCAAATAATTTGCTGTTCCTTCACACAACCGAACCCTCACTCTCTTATGTTTAGCTTGTATGCATGAAAACCAAAGGAAACTAGAGAACAAATAACTGCTTGATGCTCACACCCCTTCCCTTACAGACATCTGTTCCGTGGCCATCACTTCAACTGCTTGCTTACGTGTTCATCAGAAGTAATAATGAGTCACCAAAACTACTTAAAATAGTTGCTCATTAACATCCAAAAAAAGCATCTGTTCAGTAATAAATATTAATTTCAATTGACTTAACATTAATTATCTTAATATAAATGCTAAAATTAACTTATATTAAAATTGACTTAACATTAATTAACTGTTAAATAAATATTAATTTATTAAACATTTAATTATACTAAAAAATATTATTGATTATACTTATTTTAAACTTTAAAAAATAATGTGTTGACACTTTTATTACCTCAATTTGGGGTTTACACCAAACCTCCAATATAAAAGCTATAAATTGTCAAATATGCAACAAAAAAATTACCTGGCCTCGACCTGTTACCTGCTGGCACTGCACCAATCTAGATTACATTCCCACAACATGATCATCAAGCTCTTTTGACCACTCAACAAACACCATCCTAGGATTGGATACTCGAATCCGATGTAAACCCCATCTAACATCTAGCCTCAACAAACTTCAAGATGGCACTCCTCATTTCAACACTTGTTACAATCTCTACCCATACAACACATAGACCCTGGACTTCTACCCACTCCTATCGTAAGTTCCTCCTTCCCAAACTCCTTCATGTACCCTCTCTTTCTCACAATCTACTCTTGATAGTAATTGCAATGTTGTAATTTCCTTTGACTCGCCGGGCTACTCAATTAAGGATCCCCGTACACATAAAAAGCTTCTTCAGGGCATGGAGTTCTCTACCCAATTCCCTTCTCCATACGAAGACAATCTCTTGCAAAACTCCTTTCTTAATAAACTACTACTGCACTATGGCACAATAGGCTTGGCCACCCAAGCCCTTGCCATTTTATTTATAAGATCCAAACAGAGCAAATACCTTAGAATATCAACTCCACTTGCAATCGAACCAAAAGTCACTGCCAACCCTTTCCTTATCTAGCAATCATTTATGTAAAATACTCAAGCTCATTCCCAGTAATTTTAATGCAAGTATACAACGGTTAAATTTCTTTTATTGTCAATTTTTTCCTCTTTATTTGAGTCATTCCAAAGCTTACTAAAACCAAAACTCTTCACAGATTCATACAATTTACGAACATCATAGAAACCCAATTTAACACTAAAATTAAAACTCTTTGCTCTAACGGAGGTGGAGAAAGCACCAACATGCAACTCCAAACCTTTCCCAAAGACCATTGAATACTCCACCAATGTACATATTCATACACACCCAAACAAAATAAGGTTCCTGGCATAAGCATCGTCATATCATTGAAACTATCTGTGCTCTCCTACATGAAGCTCACTTACCATACACTCTCTGGGCTGACTCCCTCCTAACAATGGTATATCTCAAAAATAAAATGTCCGCTAAAACCACCAAGATACTAACTACTATTAGCTTTTATAAAGCAAACAACCTTCAAACGCCCATCTCATTATTTTTACATGTTCTTGCTATCCTAGGCTTCAGTCGTACTCCTCTCACAAACTAGCTCCTAGATCCATTCAATGTGTCTTCATTGGACACTCCACACACCACAAAGAGTACATGTAAGACCCAAAAATTTTCAGGTATGTGAAAATTTAAATTAAGTAATTATATTGTAAAGTTTATTCTAAAAGCTTAATAAAAATTTATTTTTAAGTTAGTATTAACATCAATTACTGTTAGTAAAAGAATTTACTTTAAAGAAATAAATTACTTAACAATAGATGATATAAGAAAGGATTTAAAGATTTTCTTAATTATGAAGAGAAGCATTCTATGGCAAAATACCATTGAATATGGAATTCGATTAGGTGTGTGTGGGCCATCTCTAATATTTATCCTTCTGTTTGGAATACACAAGTCAATAATTCCTTATATGATCTGTTTCACGCAAGCAACAAGTTAGAATGTACCTAATCTGTTTCATGCAAGCAGCAAAATTCCTTTCTCTATTTTGATTTCACTGAAGCATCAGACGGGAATCCTGTAGTGAGTTTAGGCATAGTGCAGAAAACACCGTAGCATAGCTCGGTACAGTGCCCACGGCATTGTAAAAGTCTTCGGCACAGTGGAATTTCTGTGAGGGTTTGGTAGCCGAGTGAGAGCAGTAACTGTGAGGATTTGGAGGACTAAGAAGCAAAGGAAAGTTTAGAGAAAAGGAAGAAGAAAAGTGGAATAAAAGGAGGTTTTCAGGTAAATTTTGTGTTAAGTATAAGTTGATGCTATATACTTTATTCATAATATATTGCGGTATTTATAAGATTAGAGAGATGCATTATAGGTAACTTATAATTGCAGAAGAGTAAGAAGTTGAGGCATTGAAGAGATGAATGACGAATATTTAAGGAGGTAATTAATGATATTATATTACAAATATAATTACTTCCATTTATAAGCATGGAGGTTGATTTTGAATACACTAAAGTAAAATGATATTAAGTTTGTTAAATATATGAAGAAATTATACATCCAAGTTTTCAAGTATGAACAATCACTTACATAATTTAATCATGTGAGTTTAAAATAAGATTTAACATATTCATTTAAATGTTTTTCTAATTGATAATATTTTGAAAAGAGGTTCATGTCCCACATATTGTATGCATACTCTTTGTAACAAATTATAATAGAAAGATCATTATGAAAGCATGCTACAATATAAATATTATTTATGAATATGTGAAGTGGAGTGAATATCAATTTAAAGTAAAGTTTGGCTATAAAATGATGTATAACTTACAATTGCAGGTGGGGCAAAAAGGGTCATCATGTATGACAATGTATTATAAGTGAAGTAAAATAGACTCTATTGATATGATACATGTATAGCAAATGGGGCAAAAGGGACCCCTAAAGAGGTAAAAAGAACCTCTATGTAATTCAATGACGATAATGTCAGGTTGACCTAAGCTCCATTGAATATTTTTATAAAAGTGTAGTCAAATCTTTTAAAGACTATAATTGATATTCGGTATAGACTTCAAAGGAAATAAAAATTAAGGCCAAATATGATTTTATGTTATTTTATAAATAATGTCAAGTTTGTTTTATTTATGATTTTAATATTGTGCATTTCATAATCATGCAATATAACTGCTATTTAAATTTGCATAAATTATTAAGCTATTATTAAGCTTCATAGCTCACCAATTATTTCATATTGGCTGTTGTTACAGGTAAAGGAAAAGAAAAGATCGATACAGAATAAACTACAAATTATTTCGTTTTATATGTTAGTGTTTATCTCTATTTGTAAGTCAACATTTGAGGGATGTAGATAATTTAGTGATGTATTAATTTGGATTTCCTTAGTGGCTTTGTAAGTATTTATTTGATGTAATTGGAGTTATTAGATGCTTCTGTTTATGCAAATATAAAATTGTTGGATGTTCTATATGAAGATTCAAATGATGAAAAGTATAATATGTTTAATAAGGAAAATGTTATGTTTATGTGTGTGACACTCTACAATACTGTTAAGGGGTATTGTGGGGTGTTACAGTACAAGTGCTACGATCCATGTACAAGTAAAGTCTTTATCTCACGTCGTGCGGTCTTTGATAAAAGCTCATACCCCTATCTCCCAACTTCCATACAACCACAAATTAACTATATCTCAACCACTACAGCACCTCTCACTCTAATTCAAGAGCCTTCCATCAACACTCCCTCTCCTACTTCATCAACTCCCTCTCCCAAATATCTCACAAGCTCGACAAAGTCAACCAACTTTAGAAGAACATCCTCCTCCACTTTCCCCACATCCCACCACCCATTCACCCCAATCCGTTTCCTCCTCATCCTCCTCCCAACAATTACATTCCCCAAACTTACCTCCGCAAAAAAATCATATCCACTCTTTGTCCTCATCAAATGATGACTCGGACTAAAAAAGGATCTCTAAAACCAACTCACAAGTTAAACTCCTACATGAAACTCGCCCGTCCCAAGACCCTACATGCTATAACCAAGTTATGAGAGATATTCAACAGTAACAAGCCATGGTCGTTGACTTCCACACGCTCAAACAGCAAGTTACATGGCTTCTAATCCCTCGTCCATTTAACCAAACTGTCCTCATTTCAAAATGGGCATTTCACACCATATTCCATGTTGACGTCACTATAGCTCATCACAAACTTGTCTCGAGTCCTAAAAAAGAAGCCTTCCATCAAGCACTAGTATGTGTATCACATGATAAGTAGAAAATTATTCAAAGAAAAAGATAACAAAGATTAATGGCATGAGTAAGGCATTTCCCAGCATGAATGACCAAAAAGCAAGTAATAGATTTATGCAGCCTAAAAAGCACAATTATCTTTTGATTCTATGGAGAAGTCATGAAATGCATAAATTACAAGAATAATGTGAAATAGATGCATTCATAAGTAACCTGACCTCTTCACCAACAGAATAATTTCGATCCGCAATGACCTATGTAAAACAGAATTGTAAGTTTGCCAATCAGAGCTAAAAAATCGAAATTAAAACTTGAACAAACAGTGACATGGCGTTCTGCAGGAAAAAAAAACACAAGTATTATTGCCTTTGTTAACTCTTTTACCGTTCTTTAGATTACCACTAAAGCATATCTTGCAGTGCAAACCTATATGCATTCTTATACTCTGGTGCAAACTTAGTACTTGGGAATGCACCTCAAATGGTTATTCAGGGCACCACACAAACAGTTTCGCAAACCATTCAAAAGATAACGACTCACAAGGACCACACCATATTCACTACATGACAATATAGCTTCATTGATGTAATTGGAAGAAGAGGACTACGTGCCTCTGAAATCTCTTTACCATCATCATTGAGCAAAACTGCCTCTGAAGCCCCGTCATGATTAAGAAAATCGGCAAATGGAACCTGCAAATATGCTTTCCATATCAAGAATCTACAAGCAAGTGCATAAATATATAAATTCATAATAACTCGTATCACAACAGAGAAAAGGAGAAAAAAAAAACTAATGGAAGTGTAGCTTTTAAGTCTTTCTAAGACAGTACCAAGGAAATGCAGTTAGAGGTTCCCCATGCTCGAGATATAACTGCAAAATCCAAAAAAAAAAAGAACAAACTCGAAAACTTAGTTGATAAAACTCAAAAGCCAACATAAAAAGGAACAAATATACTTGAATACTGCTTATGCATTGACGGAAATTTGAATCTTTCAATAGCAGCATACCCAACGTATATGCATGCATGAAATCATCCAATCTGATGTCTCCAAATATTGAAGGAAAATGTTGTAAAACCTGTACAAGAAAACAAAACATAATGGGCATAATCAACCAAAAGAAAATTCTAAGGGAAATAAAACAACTAGACCTGAATCTGCCAAACAGCTCTGGTTGGAAGACCTTATCATGGCATTTGAAATCAGGTCCCCGGAAGAGCCAACAAACAACAACATCACCAAGCCTTTATCCACTATGTGGGGTCGGCTACATGAGTCATTTTTCTCTATTGTGTCATGTTAAGAGTCAAATTCTCATTTAAATCTAATAAAAAAAGATCATTTCAAATGTTTTCTAACCAACTCTTTTTAGGTCTACCTCTACATTTCTTAACATAAGTTAAATTTAATATATCTACTTTCCTAACCGGGTCATCGGAAGGATGTCGTTTTATGTGACCAAACCATCTAAGGCGACTCTTTTTAATCTTATCTTCCATTGGAGCTACTCCAACCTTTTCACTAATATGTCATTCCGTATCCTATCTCTAAGAGTAAAGCCACTCATCCACCTGGGCATCCTCATCTCTATAACACTTAACTTAATATTATACTTTTCTTTTATTAATGGCCAACATTCTGCACCATAAAGCATTGAAGGTCTCACCACCATCTTATAGAATTTTCCCTAAAGTTTGAGGGGGACTTTTTCTATCACACAACAAGCCCCATGCATTCCTCCACTTCAACCATCCAACTTTAATTCTGCAAATAATATCCCCATCTATTCCACCATCATTCTGAACAATAGATCCAAGATATCTAAAACGTGTACTCCTATTAATGACTTGATAGCCCAAAGTTACAAACCCTCCAATAGATCTATTACTACTAAAATTACACTCCATATATTTAGTTTTAGAAATTCTTAAACTAAAATCTTTAGACTCTAAGATTGACCTCCATAATTCAAGTTTACCTTCAACTCCCTCTCTAGTCTTGTCAACAAGAAGAATATTATAAGCAAAAAGTATACACTTGGGTACAGCCTCTTGCAAATATATAGTGAGAACATCCATGACTAAAGCAAAAAAGATATGGGCTTAAGGTTGATCCTTGATGTAATCCAACTGAAATAGAAAAATACTTGGTCAAACCACCTTGTGTTTGAACCAAAATAATAGCTCTTGCATACATATCCTTAATAACATGAATATAAGCATTATTAACCCCTTTCTTTTCTAGAACTCTCCATAGCAGTTCTCTTAGAACTTGATGTAGGCAAGAAGGGGGTCAAATCAAATTGGGTCTTTTTGTTCTTTGGGCTGCTTGTTGTCTCTCGGTTTGGGCCTTGGCTGTTCTCGGGTTGGGCTTTGAATGCATTAGTTTTGAGCTGTTATCTTGGGATCTACTTGGTGCTAGCTCATTAAAGCTTGAGCTGATGTCTAGCTCATTATTTGGATGAGTTATTGCACTTCCTAGCTCATAAATTGTAAGAATTAATTAGATTCATTCCCTCCCCCTTGTGGTTCTTAGGTTTCTTCCCTTGGTTGCCTTTATCTCTTCCCCTTCTTGTGTCTCTTTGGTTCCTTCTTTGTCTTGTTCCCATGAAACCTGCTGGGTGCTTGTGTGGGCTCTTCGGTTTCTCCCCCTGGCTGCTTTCCCCTGGCCTCTCCTTTCTGTTTTCTGTGTTGGCTCTTCGGGTCCCTCTCTGGTTGTGTTTCCCGTGGCTTTCCTTCCTGTTTAATGTGCAAATTTTGGAGGCTATTTTGTGGTGTCTATTGCCCTTCCTCTTCCCCTTAGCTGATTGGTTTAAATAAAGGTTTATGTGGCTGTTTGGCTGCCCTCTCAAGTCTTATATATATGTGATGTTTGGTGAATAAAAAAGAGTTTTTTTAGAGAGATGCTATGTGTGCTGATTTTTGGAAAGAAACCTGAGGGTTTTCTTTTATAGCTTGCGAGCTATGTATTCCCTTCCTCTCTTCTAGGAAAGCTTGCGAGCTTCTCCTTCATTTCGTCTCGGCTTCTAATCTACTTCTTCTATCCGCAAGTCCGACGCCACTTGTACCTTTCTTCTCGATCCAAGAAAAACAAGTTTAGGTGTTTAAGGTGTCTTTATTTTGTCGATTGTAAGTGTCTAAGTTTGTAAGTCCTCTTTTATTATAAAGTGAAGTTATTTTTGGTTTATTTGTTGTATCTTGTATCCTTTTGGGTATATTGTGTATTTTTTTTATCCTAGGAAGAGTTTCATTTGCTTGCAAAAATTTGAGGCTTTTTCCAAATTTTTGCTTGCATCAATTTGGTGTCAGAGCCTAGTTGTGTATCTTCCTAGGTTGTTTCGTGTCTTTTTTTTATGTGTTTAGAAACAAATAGAAAATCACAAAAAATTGAGTCCGTTGTGGAAGAATGCAATTCATAAGATCTTTAAGTCCTCGTTCCAATGGACAGGTGGATTCCATCGGAAGGAAGTTCGACAGATCCCCTGCAGAATGAGCTATACAAACTTCAGTCCTGGTTTCATATGAGTACGAAAAATTATTTGAAGAAAAGGAAGTGTCTGCAAGAACAATTCAAACGAGAGAGAGATGAGGTTTTGGAAAGGTATGCGGCAAAAAATTAAGAGCTTGAGGCGCCTTCTTTGCCTCCTCGGAAGAAATCTAAAGACAACTCATCGGGAGATGAATTATTTCAACTAGAGGAAAATTGATGTAGGCAAGGGGGGTCAAATCAAATTGGGTCTTTTTGATCTTTGGGCTGCTTGCTGTCTCTCAATTTGGGCCTTGGTTGTTCCCGGGTTGGGCTTTGAATGCATTAGTTTTGAGCTGTTATCTTGGGATCTACTTGGTGCTAGCTCATTAAAGCTTGAGTGATGTCTAGCTCATTATTTGGAGGAGTTATTGCACTTCCTAGCTCATAAATTGTAAGAATTAATTAGATTCATTCCCTCCCCCTTGTGGCTCTTAGGTTTCTTCCCTTGGTTGCCTTTATCTCTTCCCCTTCTTGTGTCTCTTTGGTTCCTTCTTTGTGTTGTTCCCGTGAAACCTACTGGGTGCTTGTGTGGGCTCTTCGTTTCTCCCCCTGGCTGCTTTCTCGTGGCCTCTCCTTTCCGTTTTTTGTGTTGGCTCTTCAGGTCCCTCCCTGGCTATGTTTCCCTTGGCTTTCCTTCTTGTTTCCTATGCAAATTTTGGGGGTTGTTTTGTGGTGTATATTTCCCTTCCTCTTCCCCTTAGCCGATTGGTTTAAATAAAGGTTTACTTGGTTGTTTGGTTGCCCTCTCAAGTCCTATATATATGTGATGTTTGGTGAATAAAAAGAGTTTTTTTTAGAGAGATGCTATGTGTGCTGATTTTTGGAAAGAAACTTGAGGGTTTTCTTTTATAGCTTGCGAGCTATGTATCCCCTTCCCCTCTTCTAGGAAAGCTTGTGAGCTTCTCCTTCATTTCATATCGGCTTCTAATCTACTTCTTCTATCCGCAAGTCCGATGCCACTTGTACATTTCTTCTCGATCCAAGAAAAGCAAGTTTAGGTGCTTAAGGTGTCTTTATTTTGTCGTTTGTAAGTGTCTAAGTTTGTAAGTCCTCTTTTATTATAAAGTGAAATTATTTTTGGTTTATTTGTTGTATCTTGTATTCTTTTGGGTATATTTGTGTATTTTCTTTTTATCCTAGGAAGAGTTTCATTTGCTTGCAAAAATTTGGAGTTTTTCCCAAATTTTTGTTTGCATCAGAACTTTATTATATACTTTCCCTAAATCAATAAATATTATATGTAGATCCTCCTTATTCTCTCTATACTTCTCCATCAAACCTCTCAATAAATGTATGGCTTCCATAGTAGACCTACCCGGCAAGAATCAAATTAATTTTGAGAAACATTAGTATCACGTCGTAACCTATGCCACATAACCCTCTCCCATAGTTTTAAAGTATGACACATTAACTTAATTCCTCTATAATTAGCACAATCTTGTGCATCACATTTATTCTTAAAAAATAGGAATCAACACAATTATTCTCCACTCATTTGGCATCTTTTTAATATTCAAAATAGTATTAAAAAGTTTAGTGAGCATAGAAATTCCTTCATCTCCTAAGCATTTACACACCTCTATTGGAATATCATCAAGTCCAACAGCTTTTCCACACTTCATTTTCTTTAAAGGCTCTCTAACTTCGGTTTTATTAATATGCCGATAAAAATAAAAAATCTTTATTTTTATTTAGGTTGCTAAAATGATGCAGGCAAATATTAGGAGAAAGCCTAATTTTCGAAAGCAAAAGTTACTCTTGCTAGGATAATAAGAAAATACTCAAAATACACCTTTGATATCATAAAAAGACACTTACAACTTTTGACGCTTACAAATACAAGCATAAACAATACTTAAATGAGCTCTTCTTTTCTTGAGACGAAAGATACAAATGGCATCGATACTTGTGGAGAGAAGAAGTAGATAAGAAGCTGAGACGAAGGAGGAGAACCTCGCAAGCTTTCCTAGACGAAGAGGAAGCACGGAAATAACTCACAAGCTTTTTCAAAGAAGGAAGAAAAAACACTCAGGTTTTTAGTCTCCAAAAATATCACATAATCTCTCTTTTTTTCATACAAAACACCTTTTATTTATAGGGGAAAGAGGGCAGCCAAACATCCCAAAATACCCTCCAATTAAACCCATAAAACAAGAGAATATGGAAGGCCAAAAGTCAGTCCAAAACAGCACCCAAACAGCCCTTCATTCATACCAAAACAACTCCCAAACAGCCACACAAAAACCAGGGAAAAATCAGCTACGGAATAACAACAAGGGAGGCGGAACAATACTAAAAAAGGCAACACAAAGAACCAGGCAAAGCAGCCACGGGAAAGCAACCAGGTTAGAAACCGAAAAGGCAGCATAGGAACCAGAACCAGCACTCAGCAAAGGGAGAAGGAACAGCCATGGAAAACAACACCAGGAGGAAACCAAGGGGGGCATAAAGAAGGGGAAGAGGCAAGATCCAACTCCACATAATGAGCTAAAAGGAATAGTACCTTTTCAAATTAATGAGCTAAATAGTGCAATTACTCCTCCAAATAATGAGCTAAACATCCGCTCAAGCAATAATGAGCTAGAACCAAGTAGCTCCCAAATTTTCAGCTCAAAACCAAAGCAGCCAAGTCCTAACCCAAGAGGCAACTAGCAGCCTAAAGACCAAAAGAACACAAGCAACTAGCACACCCAAAGCTTGCCAACATCATAAAATCACTAAAGTCGATCATATTCTCACAATATTCTCATCCATCTTTGTCAAATATCTTCTTTTAATAAAAGCACTTCTTTATCTTCATTCTTGAGGTACTTCACTTGAAACTAAATATTTACTACTTCTATCTTTGTTTGGCTAACTTACACATATATATTTCGCACTCCTTAGTATCTAATCAATTATCATTAAAAGCTAAGATCTTTGCATAAATTATTTTCTTAGACTCCTTACGGGCTTCTTTATACATTTTTCAATTATCAGAAATTTTATATCTAAACTAATTTTTATAACAAATCTTCTTATTTTTTATCTTTTTTTGCACATTTTAATTCTACTACCAACTATTTTTACTATTAAGAACTTTTCCCTTTGATACTCAAAGCACATCTTTTGCAACATTCTCAATACCACTCGCAACTGTTTCCCACATAACATTAACATCCTCATGCACAGGCAAAATCTTAAGATCTAAAATCTTATATTAAAAAATATTTTTATTAATATTATTTAAATACCCTCATCTAATCCTAGAACAGCATTTTAATTTTTTTTCTGCCCCTTCAACTTAAAGTTTAAAACTAATAAGCGATTTGGGTACATAAACTTTCACATAAAGAAAATTTAAGCCTCATCAGTACATCATCATCATTAGACTTAACCCAACTATCTAAGATCAGCTTTAATTTTGCAATCATTCATACTGAGTGTTATCTAAGATGTTAAAAATATTATTTGCAATTTATTTTAAACAACTTCTATGTTACCTTCAGTCTACTTAGCTAATAGAAATTTTTAAATGCTCAACTATTAGATCCATAAAATATTATTGACCTATTATAAAGCCTACCTTTAAGTCTCCAGGATATCCACTAATAACATAATACTCTTGAAGCACTTATCCATTTTAACCACTCAACTCATCTCCAAAAGAAATATCCTCACTATATCACTATTCTTCTATATATAGATCTTTGATACTAAAATCTATCATATCTAGATGTTACCCTTTGTTCTAATACTATTGAATGAATGAAACACCCACTAAAATTACATATAATATGATATTTCTTTGTTCTATTAATTATAAACCATCCATCTTCTAAACATTTTCTTCTTATTTTTAAAATTCCACCATCTTATCTTTAAAAAATTAATTATTTAAATTGTGTTCTTCATACCCTTAAAAATACACGTTCGTAACTATTATTATAAGTTAAGTGGTCAAATCTCTTCTAAAATCACCTTCCAAAGCTCCTTACAATATTTGCAAGAAATTTTTCCTCCCTTCCAAGAGAAAAGAATTTTATTTGTGATTTGGCAGCTCCATTTTGTAAGTAATAGTGTTCTTATTGTTTCTTAAACTGTGTTCATTATTGCAAGATCATAAACAATTGCAAAATCAAGAAAGCTTCTCCCATTACATTTCTATCCTATTTAACACCCATCATGAATTTTCTCATAAATCATATCATTTCTTCCTTAGATATATAAATTCATTTAAGACAGCACTGATAAATATCATTTCTTCCTTGGACATATGTAATAGTAGTTTTCTCAATCTCCTCCCAAAAATTGATTTTTCTCAATCACCTCCCAAAAATTGATTTTTTTTTTTTAATTATCTTCTAATCCCAACTTGAAAACTATAAGTACCAACCATATTTATAATGCCTTCATAAATAATACCTTAGTGCTAATCACACTATAAATAATCATATTATGCTCAACAATTTTTCTTTTCAACTTTCTATCCAATGTTATATCAAACTCATTACTATTAATAACCATTCCAACATTTCCTTAGATTTTCCCCATTTTTAGTTTATTTCTTATGAACAAGCAATATCTAAAGTTCCCTTCAAAGTCCACAAATTCTATGTAGTAAATCTAAACTTGGTTCTGGAACCAACTAAACTTTCCTTGTTTTTCATTACAATCAAGTTCTGCCACATTACTAAGGGGACAAGTAAGGGTGACATCCAAATAAACGCTTGCCTATTTATTGTCACAATCGGTTAAATTATGACCGCCACTTAGGAAAGATGTCCTAACAAACTCTTACCTACTTCTCACCACTCATGTTAGGTAATGGTGTGCCACTTTTGGAGAATGTCTTATCACCAACACAATTTAAATTTACATTCATTTTATTAAATTTTGCCTAATTTTTATTATTAGTTGTCAACCTTACATTATCCTTCAACATTTATCATCTGATCTTATCATTTTTAAATATAAAAAAAAAAAACTGAAGCTTAGATAATCTTACTCAAATTAACATATTCTAAAACATAATACATTAAATGTGTGGAGGTGGACTCTATCCTAATTAAAAGCATTAAGAATCCTATCTTGCCAAGTTAACCATTAAAAATCTTTCATGAACAATATCCACACAATTTGTCATGATCTACAGCCTAAAACAAAGCAAAAAAGATAAAAATTCTAAACATCCATCAAGAATATAAATGGAGACCCTTAATGAACACAACAAGATAGTGATTTACAAAGTAAACATGTAAATGAATAAAAATAAATGAAAATTTGAGGAATGCATCCACTAATATTTAGAGTAACTTCAAAGAATTGATTTTGAGCAAGAAAAATAAAACTTGGCAAGATAGGAATGCTTTTCAATATGTTATATTGCATGTTTTTCAATATTTCTATTGCATGCTTTTCGATAAGCCACGTCGCCCACACTTTATGATGCACCATTGTGCGCGCTTTTTAACAAACTTTTGGCACGCCATTGTATACCCGTTTTAGCACCATTTTGTTCTTTTTCATCACAGCATTTGTTTGTGTTTGCGCCTTTATCAACATCGAGTTCTTAAAATTTGTGCAAAATAATTTTATATTAGCATTTTCTTGAATGCTTTTCAATGTATTTTCTTGTTATTTTCTTTTTCTATAAAAAGATTATGTTCAGGATCATACCTTATTATTTTTTCCCCTGCAACATTTTTTTCCAAATTTCCAAGTAAAATTTAGTAATTCTTCAGCATCGCCCCCGAGAAGGGGTGATGGAAGTAGGCAGCCTTGCCATGCCAATAAAGACATTTTAGGTGCTGTACACAGAACATCAAAACCTATGAAATTCATTCAATCCATTTTGTATAGTTGAGAGACTGAATAAGAATAAAATTGACTATATATATATATATAATCTTACACACCTTAATGAAGTTTGATTGCAGAGTAGTTTCATGTCATAGATCAACATCCATCAGCATCAATGCCTTGGATATTTCATTTTCACGCACCAAAATAAGAAGCTAACTAAAAAGTCAAAGGTCAATAATTCTACATAAGAGTTTCCCCCATTATGCATAATTTGATGCACCTCAAGCCTCTCTGTGTGGAGGTTTCAAAGTGAGATAAATTCAGGAAAACCCGTGCCATACATAGATAATAAATAGGTACAGAACACAAAAACAGAATAACAGAAGCTTACACTACTTTAAATCAGCATCTAATTGAAATAAAATACGCACAGGCTTTAGAGCTGAAAATTCCCTTGCTAAGGAAGACTTCAAGTTGACAGTTTCATGATATATTGAGCTTTGCTGAATCATATTCAATTCCTCTGGGGCCCAAAAAATCTGAAATTATCTTTCATGTCAGTAATATACATGATAAATGCCATGTCATGTCAAGAACTTTCCATAAGAATTAACAAATTTAAAAGGAAAGGAGACTCAAAACATAGCTTAAAAATAACTATTGTAGTTCAATAAGCCGTTGCAGGCTGCATTAATGTCCCTCTTAAAAATATCAACCTAATAAATAAAGCAGGGAAAACTTAGACAATAATGTTTGAAAAAATCATCGATCAAACGGCGGCTGGTAGAATTGTGCTTGTTACCATCGAAGTTCTTGAATTTCTTATTTTTGTATCCACATCTATTAATTCTTGATTGTAGAGAATAACCCGAGTGAGCAAACCATATAGCTAACTAAATATGTGAGAGGATTACGGACACAAACTTGCTTAGAATAGGAACATGCTTCAGTAACTAAGAAAGATTCGCTCACTTTGTTATAGTATCTTATATTATACCAATGTTATCCTCAAGATTCATAAAACAACAATTCCGTTGAATGAATACATCATAGCTCTTAAAAGATTTATGAAATACAGTCAGTCCCACATAAAACAGTCAGTCCCTCTCACTTCTCTTTCTCTCTCTTTCTCACCTCTTGACTCTATCTTTGCCTCTCTCTATATTCCACGCACTCTCTCACTTTCTCTCTCATGCACAATCCCCTTCACTTAAAATATATCTCCCTCTTTTGCAGGCCTCACTGCCATCTTATAGAGGCAGACCTAAAAAGACTTGGTTAGAAAATATTAGGAATGACCTTTCTTTATTAGATTTAAACGAGAATTTGACCTTTAATAAGACACAATGAAGAAAAAGGATTCATGTAGCCGACCACATGTAGTGGGATAAAGGCTTGATGTTGTTGTTGTTGTTGTAGTCAGTCCCACATACAACTTACTTGTCACGTTAAGTTACATCTCTTAGAGGGTTAGAATAAGTACATGAGAAAAACTAAAAAGCATCTTCATTAGACTATTTTCTGACAAGCATATTCAGTTGAGTAAATATGTCCTAGCTTTAGGAAGTTTCTGCAGGTCCTGCATTCAACTGCCCTGACCCATTGAGTTGAATCACCTAAAAGGTTAGAATAACGACATCAGAATAAGCCTAAAGCATCTTAATTAGATCGTTCTTTTTTATTTAAGGCACAAGATTAGTTGCAGATAAGGTCACATGGCCAGTTACAGATAAGGTCAAACAGGAAGTAGTAAATATTTTTAGTATATAAAAGTTTACAAGGCGGATAACCTGAGAACTAAGGAACATTCCAGTTTAGAGTTTTTTGGTAGGTCATTCACATCTTGGAAAGTATGTGGTAGAACATATGGATGATCCTCAACATAAAACTTTATAAACCTGTAGTATCATCTTACGTGTTGTGTGAAAGACGACCAAAGGTAGTGCGAGAAAGCTTACAACCGTTACAACACTAAACAACATCAAGACTCTTATAAAACTAAATGACACCGCAAGATTGTGAAGAAAAATTAACAAAAGATTACAAGAATCTTTATAATATAAACAACTTCAAAAATCTTATTCCCATAGAAGAATTATTGAAGCTGGAATTATTTGCAGATCCTTGAGAATGCCGTTTGAAGTGCTTAGTACAAGATTCTTTGATCTATGTCCTGCAGCACCATGGAAAGAGGCAGTCCTGCCCACAATCCCAATCAAGAAAAACACTATCATGGATGTCTAATCAGTACCTTCAGCTTCACGGGCTACTGTTGGATAACTGGATTTAATGGAATTTTTAAGTGACATGCAATTTAATTTAGAAAGATAATTAGATGGATCATTGCTCAACAAAAAGGTAAACAAAGTTAACATGATTATTTGTGTTATTTTTTTCTTTTTAAGGAGTGTTTTGTATTTTGTTTAAGTAGTATATTTTTTGGAATATTAAAAGTTTTTTGTTTTGAGAGGGGTTTGGTCATGTGCTCTTAATTTTTTTTTTTGTAAAAATAATTTCAGATTTTCTGATTTGGAAAGGATTTCCCGACACTTACAAAGACGAAAAGAGAAGTTGATCATACATTCGTACTGGAGTCTATAACTCTGGAACAATCAATCACGAAACTCTGGAAGCTATTGCTGATGATCGTCAAAGGCGGGTTGCAGTCAAATCCAATGGATGGCAGGTTCTCAAATGGCCATAGTTGAGTGGAAGAGCCTTCCGGGTAGTTGTCCAAACGGTCCTGCATCAGGTCCTTCACAGCAGCATATGTTTGGCAATCTTCCTCTTAGTTTTTTGCTATACCTAGCCAACATAAGCAATGAGAATAGCAGCTCAACACAAAAGCTAAGTTTGTCCTGAAGATTGGGGGTCTAAGACAATGATAAATAGAGACAATAAGTGACGGCAACTTCTCCAGCTAACTTCATTCAGACACTTTTTTAGCCAAACAATAATCTGCATCAAGTTCTCTATTGTCTAGTTTTCATTTCACTTTTGAGCAATGAAATATCAAATTAGTTTTTTAAATTGAATTATCAGTTGTTGGAAATTCCATCAAACCAAATTGTTTGGCAGTAACACTCGAAGAAGAGAATTTTGAAAAAATTCTTAATTTATTATTCTTCTTATTAAAAAATGGTATTACATATACTAAAAAAGTGTCTAACAAAAGAAATAACTAGCTAGCTTAATTCTTTCGTAAAATTTAAGAAACAGAATCATAGGAGAATAATTCTTACCAAAAAATTAGGAAATAAAATCATAGGAGAAGATTACAATCGATCTCTACTTCTATTCCTAATAATTTCCTACAATAAATTTCTTAACTTTGACTTTACAATAGTCAAGACTCCCCCTCAAGTTAGAGAATATATATCATATAATTCAAGCTTGCAAATTAAATCTTCAAGGTCTAGGTAGAGCGTTGGTGAGGACGTCTGCAGTTTATTGCTTGATAGGGATGTATTTCAATTTAACAATCTCAATTGTCGCCTTCTTTGTGATGAAGTGCCTGTCAATTTCAACGTGCTTAGTCCAGTCATGATGCACAGGATTCTTAGTTATGCTGATAACTATTTGATTATCACACATCATCAAAATAAAAGATGAACTCAGTTGTTCTAGTTCATTAAGAATCTGTTACGCGGACAAGAGCTGAACCGGCCCAGCCGGTTCAGCAAACTTATAGGAGGCGGAGGTATTCCGCCTCCTCTACATTGGCCAGCCCATAAGTGGGCCCCACTTGCTAGCATCATTTGAAAATTCAAAGAGGAAGGGGCGGCTAGGCTTTAGGAAGGAAAACCAATTAAGAAATTTATTGTATTAAGAAGGATGAGGGAGATTAGCGATTTTCATGTTTTGATTGATTGCAATTAGGGTTTTCTTGGAGGCTTGGGCTCTAGAACGAATTCTAGAGATTGGGAGAGTGCGATCCTCCTCTCGAATAGAGGATCCTTGTATCTTTGCTATTTTCCTTGCATCTACTAGTAAAATACAAGTTGTTTCTCCATTTTTCTCTCAGATTTTTCCTGTTTTCCACTGTTTTTGCTGTTTTTCTTGCTGTGAACAGCAGTTTTGCATTGAGATTTGCTGTAGAAGCGAATAGGAAATATCAAGTATTTCCTATCAAATTGGTATCAGAGCAAGTCTTGAGACCGTTTGTGGTCTGTTTTGGGCAAATTTCAGCGGCTGTTTTTTGTCCGGAAAAGGTGAAAGTTGCTGTTTTTGCTGTCGAAATTCCAGATTTTGTGATTCTACAAAGTTCGGATTGTAATGGCGGCAAAGAAGGTGGATGCCTTGGAGGAAAGAATTGAAGGAGAGATGAATCAGATCAAAATGACGGTGGAAGAAAGGATTTCATCCATGGAGGGGCAAGTTGCCGATATCCGGGAGATGATGAAAAAAGTGTTAGAAATGCAAAATCAAACGGCGGCTTCCGTGGCAAAAAGGGGAGGAGGAAGAAGTACGAATTCTGAAATTCGTATGGAGGAGGAGGATGAGGTTGAGATCATGGAAGGTGAAGGAAGAAGACCCCATCTGGAGCCTGTCCAGAGGGAAGAGAGAGGAGGGGGTTATGGGGAGCGCCAAGAAGGGTACTATGGCCGCCGTGGTGCTGATTTTGGCGGAAACAGAGAGGAATTTCAGCGTCGAGGGGCTGATTTTGAAGAAAGAAGGGGGGATTTCGAAAGGGGTATGGGCTATGGCAGGACAAGGGAAGAAGGGGAAACGTGGGGAGGACCTAACACTTGGGAGAGGGGAAACTACGGAAGGAACAGGGGCAATGGAGGCGACCAGAAGGTGAGGAAGCTGAAGATGCCCATCTTCGAAGGAGAAGATGCGTATGGGTGGATCTACAAGGTGGAGCGATACTTCGCCGTCAATGGGCTGACGGAAGAGGAGAAGCTGACGGCAGCAGGCTTGTGCTTGGAAGGAAAGGCCCTGTCGTGGTATCAGTGGAAAGATCAGAGGAGGCCTATCAGAAACTGGAGAGAATTCAAGGAATGCATCATAGAACGTTTCCAAACCGATCGGGGAGGAGATTTCTATGAGCAGTTCTTTGCTCTGACACAGGAGGGATCAGTAGCAGACTACCGGGAACGATTCGAGCACCTGGCCAGCAGGGTGGAGCGACTCTCCGACACAGTTTTGGAGGGGAATTTCATGAAGGGGTTGAAGGCGGAGATCCGAGCGGCAGTGAAGGTTCTAATGCCCCGTGATTTGGGGGAGGCCATGAAGTTGGCCCAGCTGGTGGAGAATCAGAAGAATCTGGAGAGGGGAGCTCGGAGTAGCAGCACAGGTGGGACTTACAGGATGACGACCACCCACCTAGCACCAAAAGGTCCTCCAATAGGAGGGAGTCGAGAGGCCGTTAGGGAGAAGACAGAGGGAGGTGGAAGTGGCGGAAACTTCAAACGGCTGACAGAGAAAGAGATGCAGGAGAAGAGGGCTAAGGGGTTGTGTTTCCGCTGCGATGAGAAGTACACACCAGGGCATCGGTGCAAGGACCGAACTCTTCAAGTTCTCACCGTCTGTGATG